ACAAGCTTAATTCAGCGCTTCAATGATAACGGGATTTATATCAGCTACTTGCTGCCCTCCGTGGAAGCATTCATCAAGAGATTGTAAGCTCAGGCTACAGACGACCATTAAAAACTCACATTATCGACCCTACATGTTGCATATCAGCCGAAATTTCATCAAAAATTTCTTTACTGTATTTTTATGAGCGCTTAGTCACTCGACTATACTTTTCAACCACTCAGTATAGCTTTCAATCTCTGTTCCCATTAGTAGGCTCATCTCTAGATTACATAACTTCTATCCTATAACAAAGTTGATGTAATCTAGAGATGAGCCTACTAATGGGAACATAGATTGAAAGCTCATTAGATTAAGAGCTCAAGTATAGCAGATATTTGGTTATGTTAGTTGCCGACACGGCAAGATCTCTAAGGCCGGTTCTCCAGTTCCTCCTTTCTTGCGCTTTCGACATGATATTAGTTGTAAGTGTACTTCAATGTCTTTTATGCCGTACGAGGTTGCTTGGTGGAATTTTTATTCGAACAGCCTAACGTTTCGTTTGAATCGTCGTCTTCATTCTAAGGCCGGTGTCAGATTTATTGTTAGCGACGGATTTCAAAATGTGACACCGGCCTCAGCAATTGGAGCAGTACCAGTTGCGCCAGCAATCTGCGATCAAATTCGATAAAATGTACATGGCCGCCGCTGGCGCAACGGCCGGGCTATTATCCGCTTACAAGTGTACGGATTCGCAGTCTTTCTTCGGAATTTTGAACTAATGGATCAGTCCCGGTATATGAAGGTTCAAGTTTGCTGGTATTCTCCAAATAAATTTGAATCAAGATGGATACGTCGTTTCCTTGATTCCCCCTTCCTTCACGCCATATCGTCAATGGAAGGTCGTACAGCATCCAGTCACGACAGGAGCACATCTCGGAGAGATTCACAAACTACCTGCCGTTGAAACATTCGCTTAATTCGCGGGCTGTGAGAATGTGGGGTACCACTTCTTCTCACTGGTGAGACCCAGAACGACGGGTAATTGCGCGACATCAGCAACTATCACCGAAAGGATAGGCATGCGAATAGGCAGGAGGTAGGAGCACGTGCAACTTAAGTCGTGTTCACGCAAACGTATAATTAAAGAGTTGACGGAGCTCACAGACGTACTGAATCAAACTAAAACATAACATAACTTCCTCGGCGAGGAAAGGGATCCCAAACCGAGAGTGGCCCACTCGCAACTGAACATACATTTCTGATTGCCTTTGAATCTTTTCATTCTCTTCGATGATCTCTTTGAACAGCCGAAAAACACTCCCTACATTTAGTTGGCGAAGCGATGAGAGAAGCAACGTGTTTGGCTGCCGGCTGACACGAAAAGAGTTCAGTTAGCTTGACGTTGGCGAGGTATCCGCTTTGCTTACTTGTGACATTGCCGAAAAAGGCTCGTTATCCACGCTTAGTGAGTGTGTGTGAGTATAGGCACGTTAGCGCGTGCCTAATTACAGGTTAAGCTGTGCGCAAGGAGTTCTAACAAAGTTGAGGGCTTTGCAAGACGAACTGCCAGTCGGTACTCTAGCGCACGCCTGGGCATTCGTGTCAAACAAGCATGATATTCGTGTTCAGAGCGTCAATCTACTTTTTTTCGACAACTTCTGGTCCAAATCCAAAATATTGACCTACTTTTGAAACCGTGGGCTACGCTTCGACTTCTCCTTCACCCTTGGCATTTATATTTCCTTTATGTACACTGCGACGCATAATTATAGTTCCACCTACAAATTTCCCAAAAACTTGAATCTGGGGATGTTTTTGGAAAAGGCTCTACAGATAAATTGTGACACATATAAACGCGAATCTGAATATTAACACGGAAATCCAGTTTGAGAAAGCAAAAAATTTTTATCCTCATTTTTTCGAAAATACCCGCTTTGCCTATGACGCAAAATCATAGTTCCACCACATGTTTCTCTGCTGCATTTTGCTTTTACCCAATCAAATTTTGAAATTATTACCCATTCAAGTTCCTTAGCTTATAGCAAAGGCAAAACCGCTGTCGAACTTCCGTAAAAGGAAAATCTTAGCAAAAGATTGTCGAAGTGTCAGCTCACGCTGGAATTTGTCGGGGTGTATTAGTATTATATACTGTAGCATCCTCGAGAAATTTGTTGAAGTCACCCCGACAAATTCCAGCGTGAGCTGACGCTTCGACAATCTTTTGGTAAGATTTTCCTTTTACGGAAGTCTGGCAGCGGTTTGCCTTTGTCTCTATACGTAAGAAACTGTGAACTTGTGAACAGAAAAAAAAAACTTGAAAGTAATTTTAAAATTTGATTGAGTAAAAGCAAAATGCAGCGGAGAAACTTGAGGTGAAACTATGACTTTGCGTCATAGGCAAAGCGGGTATTTTCGAAAAAAAAAGGGATAAAAATTTTGCTTTCTCAAACTGGATTTCCGTGTTAATATTCAGATTCGCGTTTATATGTGTCACAAATTTGTCTGTGAGAGCCTTTTCAAAAACATCCCCAGATGCAAGTTATTGGGAAATTTGTAGGTGGAACTATAATTATATGCGTCGCAGTGTATCTTGAAACCTTTGAAATATTGACAAAGTTCACAAGGCGAATGTTTCGGCGTCTTCAGCTTCGCCAGAACCACAGTTCAAAGTCGATATGTCCGAGATTACACTGCCGACCATCGCGCTTACAACACCTCTCCCCACCCCCTGGGCCAAATACGGACCCTCGTTGTATGAACATACCGAATCGACCCCTGGTTCAGATAGTCAGGTGGGTTATCTGCTTAGCTCGCTCACTTGCACGCAATCTACCCCAGTATTAGACACGGCCGTTCAGACATTTTTTCCGCATTTTTTTGGATTGATTTGGTCTTAAGTCATCATATGGCTTCAGCGCCGAAATCGATGTAAAGTGCAACCAGGATCATAAGAACTCTGCAAATGGTTTTCTATCAACAATCGGCAGGATGAATCTGCAACGCCATTTCTACACCAAATGGCGTGGACGCCGTCGGCCCAACAAACGACGCCGCATTCCCGAGATCAGGCATCCTGGTTTCTTCTTCATGGACAAATATTCAGGGGGGAATCAGATTTTAAATCTGACTGAAAGAAAGGCGGGTGGCAGAGTTGTCAGTACGATACGCCGACGTTGAGCGATTTAAGACAGAGCGCGGCGCTAAAATCAAGCAGAATGCCCTGGTAATTCACGGAGTTCAAACCATGGTTTCGAGGGAAGAAATCCCACCATGTCGCGGTCCTTGAAATCGCTCCACTCGTAAAGATGAGGCCCTGCTAGTGGAAGAGCAGAGGAACATTTTGAAAGAGAAAGGGATCTGTCGACTTAAACTCATGTCGGTCTTGTTCTCCATCACCAGCTGAGCATCTGCCATTGTCTATTAGGATCACGAGGAAACTCGTTTCCAATTCGATCAAAGGCCGATTTTTCGGAACTGATTCATCTCAATTTAGTCTAGAACTTCTACATCGAGGAATATCCTATGCTGAATGTGAAATATGCTCTTTTAGAAGGTTTCAATTTGAGCCACCTCGGCGCCATTTGACGCCCTTCTGGCGTTACAACTTTTCCCCAATATTTACAATTCAGAGGGTAATAGTTACTCATAGTCCTGAGAATCCATATCGGCGCTGGTGCTATTGTATTTGGAGCGAATTTGGAAGCTCCAACTAAAATGCAAAAATTTTGTCATCACGGAGGATTGAACCTCGGACCATTTCCTCACCATTTTTTGGCCTTCACGGGGCCGCTCAGCGAAAATGGACCTCGGTTCTGTAGTCCACGCATGTTTCTTTAACATGAAGAACACTGTTCCAAAAAAGCGCGGCTTGCCTTGAAAGACTCTCCTTGTCAAGATGATAGCAGTGGTTACCATGCATTTGTCTGCATATATTCCGCGCGCATCCCTTTCTGCATCCATTGCGAAATAACTGTAGTTCGAGGTAAGCGAATCCACTTAGGTCCTATAGAATCAGTACAAAGAGCTCTGGAAGAAGAAGCGAAAACAACCACATTGCTCGTTTTTGCACTCTAATCACGATCTGATCCATGGGGCCAGCAAAGCGCTATGTTAACTGTTGAATCCTTTTAGGTGTTGCCAAATCGTTGCTAAAATTGCAAACATGATCGGTGGGCGACTCTCCGCAATTTTCTTCTCAGACTGGAAGTGAACGGAAGTGGATACAGTCTTAACAAAGCGTTCGTTCCCGATTTCACACTAAAATTGATTTTCTGTGCAGCGATAAATTTTAACAGCGATAGGTGTGAGCATCGAAAATGATGAAGGTAGTGGTCGGATATGGGAGGTTGACGATGATTGGCAGATGCAAATCAGTTATGCACTGAACTGTTGAAGAACTCGCTCCAAATCAACCGTGACTGATATGTAATTGTGAAGATCACAACTCATTCAAGCCTATGTATTCTGAGGTAAGGCGAACTACACGGAAAGTATGAGAAAGCGGCAGGTGAGTGCAGCAAAAATGGTGGTTTCGCGCTTAGTCTGCTGTTTTCCTTCACGTTCTATATGAGCGAACACCAGTTTCCCCTAAGCATCCGGAGAGCTCTCTGAACAAAGTAATATTTTTGTACAGTTCTTGGAGATTTTTCTAAAAGACCATTATGTCTGCCCTTCTTCCCTTTGACTCCTTTGTTATTCAACAGAGAAAATGCAAATTTTTGCAAATGAAATTTTATTTCACTGCAACAGGAATCTTCAAGGCAATCATATCTTTCCACAAAGATGAGTAATTACAGTCGATAAAATGGGACGGTGTGAGTTTTGGAGTAAAACGATTATGTGGCAGATAGCTGTATGCACTTATTGTTAACTTGTAAAAACACTAACAACACATTTATGAAAAAGCGTCAATAACGAGCAAGTATCGCTGAACCACTCTTCTTCAAGACATGCTATTAAGCGCTTCAGAGAGATTTTGCTGCATCGGCTACATCTACGATGCGGGAAAAGGTTGACCTGATATCCAAATTCTTCCAAGCCACACCCAGTCTACGCTCAAAATAGTATTTCAGAAGTTGCCCCCGAATGTCCAGTTTGGCCGCAAGGTTGCAAAGCTCCTTGATGGCATCATACAGCGCAGAAAGTGGGAACTCGATATTGTCATTAGAGTAGCTTGGGTATTTCTCGTCCATATACTGTCCCGTTCTACTCACTGCTACAAAAAATGGCTCCAAATCAGAGAATGACAACTGCACAGTTCCTCTGAGTATCATGCGGATTATTTGTATTGCAAGCGTCAGTGGTTCACGAGTCTCTTGAACTTTGCCAGGGAAGACGTTTTTGGCCACAACTAGTGAGGCTTCAACGATTTTCAGTGACTTTTTTTCCATTTCGTACAAGTCCGTTTCGTTCCTCGTACCATCTCCATCTATAAAAGTTGTCGTACGGTAACTGTTTACGTTTCCAAATTCTGCAATGGCAAGAAAGTTCACTTGTTTTTCAAGTTTGTATTCCAAGTTCGGGTGCATGACCACTTCTTCCTTGTATCTCTGAATTGTTAAGAAGTTTTTGCTCACCTTCGATGTAGGTAAGGCAATAAAGCCCCTACTAAATTATGAAAGCGTCGTTTTGCATTTCTAACCCTTTGCTCTCCTAGTCCAATAGCTATGTATTTGTATGCGTTGAGCAAAACGGTGACTATGAGTTATGATACTATGATATGAGTTCTTTGTAAAGATCATTCCAACCTCGGAGCGGATCAATGACAAAACGGGCGACAGACTAACCTACGAGAATTTATTATGACCACTGCGGATGTCAGCTGAGAGCGATGAAAGCGCTATAAAAAATGTTAGATTTTCACTGGTTTTACCAGCCCCAAACCGTAGCGGCTGGTGAAAAACAAAAAGAAGTACAAAAAGTATGATTATAAGCGAAAAGCGTTCAATGCCATGGAGAGCGATTAAAACACTGACGATGATGAGCCTGCGGCAGATTTGCGAAGAAAATGCTTGCATGTTGCCCACATAATAAATACTTCTAAGGTCTTGTACAAGAAGACACAGAACCTATGGATCATAGGTTCTTGAGCTCTAGCTGCTAATTACGGGGGTTCTTTGTCAAAAGACGGTATCCAGTGCATCGTCGAAATCAAATCCCAGACAGGTCTTGCCCAGTTTAATCTATTTCAAGAGTTGAGTAGTTGAGTGCTTCAAGGAAGAACAGAGTTACCTTATTACAAATAGTCGAGGTTTTTACATTTAAAGGCAAACTCCGGGATTGAATAGGTGCTATCAGCGCTTTGTAGTGATAGCTTAGCTGCGGAACGACCTGAAAGTGGAAAGGAAAGCAAGAGAAATCTTTGGGAACGCTGAAATTAAGGCCTTAACCTTCAATAGGGTCGGATGTGGTACGATGGCGAGAAAGGGCGGTCAAAGAAGACAAAATACGCGAGAGAGCACGTCGTTTGAGAGAGCACGCTGATCTCACCACCTCTCGCGGTGGGTGGGAAGCGTTGGAATGGGAGTCGATGGTTGCGGCCCGTAAGGATTAGCCCCTAACCGCGCAATTTTTGCGACGAAGCTGGAGTGATCCTACTTACGCACGAACGGCTAACAGTCCCTTCCCCTCGTGGTATCCCTCCTACTAGACGGGCTAATCCCGGGGTTTGCCTTTAATGGACACGTCGTTCGCGTTGTTCATGACTTACCAATGAAGTTCAAGTAGTCGAAAAGTATTTCGCGACTCATGTCTGGTAACTCTTGTAAAGCGTTCACTAATCTGAAATGGTTATATTGCAATAGTTACACAGTCACTGCAACTATGGGTGTACTTACGTAGAAAATGCTTCACCAGAACTTTCCACATTGTTCATGGAATGGTTGAAACTTTCCATTACCTGCAGTGGTTAAATAGGAAAACAAACTTGAGGGTATCAAAACGACTATGAACACCTTGTAAAAAAGCAAATATCTCGCTTTTAAATTGAGTTCCATGGCTGTAATATTCCTTTGGAATTCATCGAGTCGTACGTATGGAGCGGGATAAATGCTGTCGCCTTCATTCTTGCGTTTTTCCTGAGAAAAATAAATTTAATTCTACCATTCCACGCAGCAGAACTCCAATATGTGAACAACTCTCTTTTCGACTTTGACAGGAAGGTGAGTGTATGGCAGCGGCGCGAAGTTGAAAACCATCGTCCCTGCGTCTTATTCGGAAGGGGTTTATGGCCATTTACGGCCACCTCTAGTTTTGTGTGCATTTTAAGTTTTAGAATTCAAAATTTTGAATGATTTTTGGACGGAATTCGTAGGGACCTTTTATCTCCTGCACAGCTGTGGCGAAGGCAGTCGAACTGTCGGTGAGTCGTAACGATTTCTACCTACCTTCAAAAGACATTCACTTTTGTTATCCCTGCACCGTAAATCTTAGAACTGACCGGTCAATTGTCTGATTTCCACTTTCTAGACATCAAAGATATTGGGAGAACGAGGGAATGAAGCGGCCGAAGACGAGGGGGGGGGTGATTTAGGCTTCATGGACAAGCTCACCGGTGGCACGGATGCGTTTATTGGTGACATCACTTGGACGTCAGAGTTGCGGCAAGAACAGCAAGGGCCAGAGTTGCCGTTAATACTTTAACATGTTATGCACACTGCGAGCATTTATCGTACTCTAACTCAACTCAACTGCAGTAAATAGCTTGGTAAGTCCGTTCAGAGAACGACTTACCAGACTCGAAAGGTAGATTTGTCCGTATTCAAATGCACTACCAGCAGTTTAGGAGCATACAACTCCTCTTATAATAGCAATGGCGACTGTCGGTATACTTCCTTTTTTATATTTGATGGTTCCACCGCCTACTTCTGCCGACATGCAGAACACACTTCTGTTCCACTGTGTTAAACGTCTACAGTTTTTCTGACTTGCTACCCCAGCACATAATCATATTGTATTTTCTCGTTCTTTTTGAACTCTGTTATTATTGCTTCTTGGAACCTCTGATAAAAAAATTACGGTCGGTGAAAATATATGTTAAAAAAATATGTCAAATAAAAAGGGTTCCAGACCATTTTATTTTTCTCGTCCAGATAAAGACTGCGTAATTCCTCCATAGAACTAGTTAGTTCTCTCCTGTTATGAACACTTGGCAATGTGTGGTGCGAAGCATCCTCGTCTTCATGTTCAACTAAAAAACTGAGGATCAATATTCGACCTGCCATGGTAATGAAATCAGTTACCTGATGGCGCTGATTTTGAAACGCTCAACTGTATGCCGAAAAGTAAGCAGTGCAATCATTAGCAATCTCTGATGAAAAGCCATTGCTGGGAATGCGGATTCCTGCATTTGTTTTACGCGTGTTCTGATATTTTAAATCGGTGGAAAACACTTGTGGATTGCGGGACGAATGCTCAACTGGGGCTGTAAAATGGGCGGACGCAGCTCCGTCGGTACTCAACGTCCTGAGTGGAGCTAACCGCCGGACACCGGAGTGTCTAATCGTGCTAAAGAGGAGTGAGCAGCGTGCAGGATTTGAAAGCAAACGCGCGTTCAAGAACAATGGCAAGCTCACGTCCGCTATCTCGAAAGGACACCTTGCGGCAGAGTTCTTCTGTTATTCTGACTTCAACGTTTTCTGTTTTGTTTTATCACGAGCCGCTTGTGGTCATTCCGAGACCTGGCAGATGATTATATTTATTGTACATAGAGAATAGAAGAGTTTCACAAAAGCTAGGCTGATAGCTTTAGCAATTTATTGTGTGTGAAAGCTGACAAGCTATGGTAAGTGTACCATGAAAAGCTGAGTTGGAATGAAATGGTGCCTCGGTAGCGTAACTTGTAGCGCACTTGCCCGGTATGCGAGAGATGCGGGTTCAAAAAACAAAAAGAAGTCAAAATTATAGAGAACGTCCGGATGAGAAGTGCCACGTAGACAACAGGTATGCCTCTAGCCTGACTGCCCATGGCGTGGAGCGTTGGCTCAGCCAAAATTCCACAAATTTGAAGCGAAGTATAGGTAGCCGTAATCCTTACGAAGGCACGCACAATGTAAACAAGGAGCCATACACGATTCATGCAAGGAGAAAGTTGTATCGATGAAAGGCTTTTTTATTTGAGGCACTGTTTGTGATTAGATCTTGAAATTTCATTGACTAGTGATAAAAGGTTGGGGTTCCAGCCGCTGCAATCTACAGCAACACAGTGGCAGTATATTTAGTATCAATGCTATCACGCCACTCAACTGAACAGGCCCGCCTTCTTCTATGAAGAGCTCTCCAAAAACTTATGCGAGGTGTCAAAATATTACAGCACTGATTTTTTCGCGTGCGCCTTTTTGATCGACTGATCGGCTCAGTCAGCTTCATCCAACTTCAGTGTATCTCCGAGTGCAATGTCACAGTTGCGATAAACGTGAGAGCTTCCACAATAAATTTCTGAGCATATTGCCCTTTTCTCTTTCCGCACACAAATGTTGAAAAGACGAAAAAAGACGAAATGCGATGTCAAACGTTGGATAATGGTGTGTGAAAGGCGCAAGCTGTGACCGAGCGAATACCAAACCCTCTAGAGCGTAAATCTCATACAGCGCTCGTGATACCGGCTAGCGTGAATGTGGTACATGATTCTGATGCTTCAGTGAGGTCAGTTGAGCCGCAACCAAGACATAATTCAACTTTTATTCGGCTAACTTTTCAGCTTCATCGCCTTCGTCGAGCCTGCAAAGTCAAAAACACTCCCCAAGCATCATTTCGAACTTCAAGAAAGTTCTATAGACTCGATGTCTTTAGAAAGGCATCACAAATCTGAGACCACCTTAGGAAACGACCGGACTTGGTGTCGACCACCGCTAATCTGACTCGCAGGGGATGGCTTCAGATGACCTGGCCCCTCGGCCTGAAGCCGATGGCAAACGAAGCCCACAGAGGTCAGAAAAGGCGCGAATTCGTCAGTTATGGCTAGGCATTCGTCTTTCCTATTCATTTTGAGGGAATACCTCAAGAGTCTTACGTGCAGGTGTGAGTGGTTCCCGTATCATGATGCTGCTTCTGTTTCGAATCCTGCACCTCCATGGGATTGCATGCGGTGAGCTCTCAAGGGGGTCTCAGGCCTTGCTCGACTCAAACCATCTAGGTGTTCCTTGACCCTCGCGCACAGGGGTCGCCCTGTCTCTCCGATGTACTCATTCCCACATTGCATGAGAAAAGGTAGATCACACTGACGTCATGCAGTCACCCTCCCGCCCATTAGGGCAGACAACGCAATGGGGGGTGAGGCAGGCACGATCATACCAGCGATTTTGAACCAGCTGTTGCTTGAGGTTTGCCGGAGGGATATCGACTAAACGTACCATATCATCTAGACCACAGCGCCGCTCGCATAGCTGCGCTTAAAGCATCGCTTATCGAAGGGTATACAGGACGGCACCTTTTCCGAACCATCGATTGCAGAGCCGTGTTGTTTCTAAAGGCTGCATTGGGGAGGGATTGGCCTCTGGAGGTAGCCGTTTGAGAGTGCAATCTTCTTCGCAAGTTCCAAGGAGTCCGCTTTCTCCTGTCTTCCCGAGGAGGTCAAGATAGCCGTCCTGTACATGCTCTTTTATAGAACGCTTTGTTCTGAGAGGATGCCGAACCAAAGTGCCCTAAGATGTTCTCGCAATACCAAGATTCACCGAGAACCGAACTTCTACAACTTTTGTGGACATGCGAATGCGGCATATAAATCAGGTGCTGTGGTGTAACATGCAACTTGCACTGCAGAAATTAGACCTCACCAAACATACAACAATCTGTAAATCACTTTATGAACCATGTTCTTGAACAACGATATTCAGACGCTTGTGTATTTGCACTGTGACCTTCACGTTGTCGGATGATAGTGTGTATGTGTTCCTCTGTCTATTTGGATTCACGCCCAACACAAAATACAAAAGGCTAACAATGTAGGAAGTAGATAGATCCGAACCATCTCCATTAAATCGAAATTTCGACCAGAGCATGACTTCAACCTGCAATACTCTGCTCCGCAAAAAATCTGCTGGTGTAGTGAACCGAATAGCACAGACCACTCAAGAAGACACCACGTCCACTGATATCAAAGAATTTTGCCATTCACCAAGAGGGAAGAAAAATCCTGGCGAATCAAACATTGGAACAGGACTTCAGTTGCGTGTTGTTACCGAGAAACTGCGAATGAGCGAATGACGCATGCACGATGGAACGCGGAACAATGCTCCGTAACACCCAAAAGATTAGGCCGCCACAAATGCTTTGCCGGTGCGCGCATCACAGCAGCAGGTAGCAGTAGTCTGTAGCATTGTAGGTGATGACCTGAACTGATACCGGACATATGTATCAACACGTTATTTTCTAACTTCAACAGCAAATGTCAATATCTGCTGTACCGTCTTCTGCACGAGAGGATAGATCACTTCCGATAATTGAGGTTACCTGATTCGTCGACGATGGTATGCGACTCCAGAAGGATTTTCCAGTTTGTAGTATGGAACAAGCGAGCAGTTCCCATCGTTTTTTATCACTATTGAAATTATCTTCCAATCGTTAGCTCCTTCGTTGCGTTTTGAATATTTGTAAGCCAAGCCCGCTGTATTTCTTGAAAGTGAACTCTGCTTATTATGACGACTTTTCGCTTATTGGTTCGCCCGGAATTATTTTACTCCGAAAGAATCGGCTGAAAAGGAACAGATGCATTAGGAAAAGTGCGCTCAGCGCACCTTTTGACACCCCTTCTGCTTTCTGCAGAAATCGGACCTTACCAAAACATACGATTGATCTAGCAGCGAAGCAGTTTCCAATCAAATAATTATGCATTCGTGAAAATCGTTTTATATTATATAAAACGCTGACTCGACGTGTCGGTTTGTATGTATGTACTTTGTATGTGTGTATGTATGTATGTATGTATGTATGTATGTATGTATGTCCGTGTGTCCGTCCGCAAAATGAAGTGAGTAAGGAAGCTCATGGTAAACAAACCGCTAACAAATCGGGTAGCTTACAGGACTTTGAGCTATCAGGGCTTTTGCAATGGCATGTTGTGATAACACCCCAATTGAAGTGGCAACTACTGATTAGAGAATATGAAGAAACTACTGCAGCACAAGCATAACGGCGGTCGTTAGAGAGTGAGGGAATATGATGCGGAGCCTGCATCGAAGTCCACCGTCGAGGCTGATGTGCATTACTTAGATATGCCAAATTTACGACTTTGAGTCGGAGGCTTCATTCTTATTGAGCCCTCTAATTTGACGATTGTTCAGTGCTCAATGTGGCCAGAGCACTGAACAATCGCCATATTGGAACGTGTTTATTAAAGGAGAGCTGGGCAACCACGACACCTTTTGACGCCATGTCAGAATTAAAACTATATCATCAGTTTTGGTAAAAACCCAGTTTGTATGATTTGCGTAGATTACTGATACCCTTATCGTGACATCCGACCGCTAACGCCTACGGTGTGCAAACCTGCTAGAATATTCCCCACCCATTGCACGGAACCTTTTCGGTCGAGGAAGATCTCGTCATAGCAGATGACACAACACCTCTGAGCAGAGACTGTGTCTAATTCCCAAATCACTAAAGCCTGAAAAGGCCGTCCTCAGTAAAGAAATTTGCGCCTTGGTAGAGCACGACTGCAACACGCCGCCCGCAGAGCATGCGAAGCAGCCGAAGAATTGACAAGCGTCAAAAGGGCCTATCGGGAGATCAGACTGAAGACCACTTGCCCCGATTCTCTGGCCAGGCCTGACGGCACCGTAACATACAGCCAAGAGGAAATGGCCGAGCTGATTCTGATTTTTACAACAATCTCTTTGACAGTCAGATAATGGACCTACCAGGAAGCGACCAGATGAAGGCATAGCTTTGATCCTGCAAGCAGAAGCGCTAGCTGCTCTTGGCCGGGCGAAGAAGGCGATTCACCGGGACCGAATCAAGTCGCATTAGAGAGGCTCTGCATGCAGCAACTTCAGCACCATCCGATTTCCTAGAAGCCAGAAGATCGAGCTAGTGGAGGACGGGAGGGCGAGCGAGTGGAGTGTATCTCAGTGAAGCAGTACATAAAGAATAATCTCACGCTCGAGATTATCAGACACTGCAGAGCAAGCTGGACCGCTTTGCAAAATGTCTCACTTCTACACACGTGAACCCCAAAATCACAGCTTAAGTCTTCGACTCTCAGGCTGTTCCCGCAATTATAAAAGGGGCGGAAACATTTAGCACCATAGTCTCTGAAGAGAAACAGTCACATAGCGAGCCATGGTGGGGCCATATGCGGTGTTTCGCTCCGAGACCGCATACCCTTACCATTAGCCCTCGTGCGATAGTTAAGGACGTAGTGGAAACTTTCTGCAAATCCAAGCGGAGATGGACCTATCATGTGGTTATGCTCACCGATGATCGCTGGAACAGGACAGTGACTGACCGAACAGAGGAAGAATTCTCGCCCCCCATCCGATGGGCTGATGCTATCGTAAAATTATACGGACCAACTGTGGCGCAGAAGAGCCCAAAGCAGAGCGACTTGGAAGATGTGCGACCTGCGTTTCTGTCATTTTTGGGTCGAATTGCGGTCAACAAGCGAGAAGAAAAAAGAGACAATTATCTTGGTTGGGAGTGTTGCGCATTCTTGACGCTAGCTCTTTCACCAGCCTGAAATTCAATAGCATGCTCGCAGAAAAGTCAAAAATCTTAACCGTTTCAGTTTCGCTTTTCCGTTTCGAGGTGTAAGAAATCATTCAAAAAGCGCTCCACGCCCTGAATAGAAGAAGGTCACGATATCAACACTCGTTCGTTGCGCACATACATGAAATGCAGCAGTGTTTCAAAAGTTCTAGAGCCCTAGTTGAGAGTCTCGAGGATGAAAAATTCGCCTGAGAATCAAGCGTGAATGTTAACGTACATTTGTAACTGAGTATCGAACTGCAATGGCTTTCTTCGCTATTCAGTATTTTCAGACAATGCCTTCTATAGGTGTGCTTTCCAACCTTCACTTCGGAGTCTCCTGACTTCAATGCTTTCTCTTGCTTCTTCTCTAAAACAAATAAATCAAAACAAATTTCATTGCACTACAACAGAAATTTTCAAAATAATCACACATTCGCAGAGAAAGATGAGCAACATAGTTGATGATATAAAGCTGTTTACAGTCGTGTGTGTTGAATCGCTAGCACTAGTAATATCTTCTTAAAACTTATGGAAAAGACGCAATTATTCTAGCGCCGCTCGCCTTCAACTCATGTTGCCGAGCACATTAAAGGGAATTCACTGCGCTAGCTACATCTCCGATGAGAGAGAATGCTGAATTAATGTTCAGACTGTTCCAAGTATTACCCAGTCTACGCTCAAAATAGGATTTAAGGAGCTCCCCTCGGATGTCTATCTTAGCTGCAAGATCGCATAGCTCTTTTAGAGCATCATAGAGGGCAGAGAGTGGAAATTCGACTTTATCAGTAGAGTAACTTCCCCACTTTTCGATCCATAAATCGACCTGTTTTACTCACAGCCATGAAGAATGGATCCAAATCTCCTAATGACAGCTGAACAGGTCCTTTGAGCATCATGCGAATTATTTGTATTGCAAGCGTCAACGGTTCGCGAGTCTCCCGAACTTTGTTCGGTAACGCGTTATTGGCCACGACGAGTGAGTTTTCAATAATTTTCAATGAAGTTTTCTGCATTTCGCTTGAGTCATCTTGATTTTTCTCAGAAGCGGAGAGCTTCCTCTTATTCTTTTCGCCATCATCTGTAGAAGTTGCTTGTTCACCAGTTCCCTCACTTCCAGGTCGCTCTGCAATGTTACAAATTCACTTTAACATTCTGAAAACAAGTTTCTAAAAAATTGGGGTTCTCTCAGCTAGCGTCTTAAGTTTAGGTGCATGGCTGCTTCCTTTTGGGACCATTGAGCATCCAGCTCACAATGACTGCAGGGAAAGCCAAACATGCTCTAAAAAGGCTGAAAAACTTGCCTGTTACATATTTGCAACTCTCAAAGAAAAATAGCACTTCGATTAGTCAGTAGATAATGTGCAACCATGCGAGTGGGTTTCGTTGTAAACCAGCACCCTAACTATGGAAAGGACGTCCCCAAAAATTTGAGGATGAGCTTACAACGAATTGGGGGCATATTACAAAAATATTTGAGTTTTCTTCATTAAAAATGAGTTTTGGTGAGAAGGTAGAGTTGACAGGTAGTGGATGTATAAAGTGGGAGCGGTAGAGGAAGCTTGAATTTGATGACCATGTCAAATACCAGCCCATATCTAGGAACTTGAAATAGCGCGGATAATGCGAAAATAGATAAGCTAACTCATAGCTGTTGGAAGCATTTCATGTTTGGAAAACCGAATATAGAGGTGAGGAAGTGGTCGTTGCCGAGTGCTGCCCAGCACGCTCGTCATGATGCTACTCGGTTCAGGTCGATTATTTGCAAGGAAGGGCCGTAATGCGTGCGCTACGTACATTGCTGCCATTTTCTATCACTGACCACTGAAGTTCAAGTAGTCGGAAAGTATCTTGCGACTCATTTCCGGTAGCTCGTGTAAGGTGGTCAGCAATCTGAAATTGACGAAATTGCGTATGTTACATAATCATTGTAGCTGTAGGTGCACTTACATCGAATATGCTTCACCGTAACTTTGTACATTTTTCTTAGGATAGTGGAAGTTTTTGATTATCTGCAATGATGAAGAATTGAAATTGAAACAGTAGCGGAAAGGTACCGTAAGCCATCACGACCTTATAGAAGAGCAGATATCTTGCTTTCAGATCCAATTCCATGGCTGCAATGTTCCGCTGGAGTTTGTCGAGACGAACATACCGTACAGAGCAAGTATTGTTGTGGTCGACATCGCACTTTTTCTGAAGAAGCCATTTTCACACACAGAGCCATAATCCGCGCGGTGGCGCGCTCATTAACTTCTGCCGTGGCGTATAGTTCTGTGCACCCGCAGTATCACTATCCACTCCTCAATTCAGTACACTCTTTTCTACGCATCATTCACAAAGAATAATCATATGAAATTTCAACCTGAAGGTCTGCCGTGACGTATAGACCTCAGAAAAAACGGAATACCCTTACAAACACGAATGAAAATATCCAAACCAGCTTATTTTCTTCGTCCAGATATTTTCTGCGTAACTCCTCCATGGAATTATTTACTTCCGCCTCGTTATGCACAATGACTGAGAGCCGATCTGAAACAACCTTTTGCTCGCTATCTAAAAAATTGGATGATCAATCAACCTTATACGTGCCATAAAATCAGTCACCTGGTGCCAATGGCGCTAGAGCATTCATCTGCATGCCAAAAACAAGCGGTGTGAGCACCAACAATTCCCAGGGAAAAGCCATTGTTAGGAGCTTGGTGATCTTCCTGCATTGATACTATACACACTCTGATATCTGTTTGAAAATCGAGCTACGCAGCCAACAATTTGTATATCTCACACACATAGTTACTCTCGTCAAAGAATAAAGGATAAAAGGATAAAGCATTTGCCGTTGATCAATCCCTTTTTGGGATGCGGCACGCATTCTACTTCCATTTGTACATTCGTAGTGGCGTTTGAATGCGATGTGGCCTATACAATGACTTGCGGGGGCCAGCCGATGTAAAGTCAGTGTTTTTATCACGACAGACAGGATTTGATCCCCGGACCGCTCGCGTGGTAAGCGTGCCACTTGCCACTACACCACTTCCGCCTTAAAGAAATGTAGAGCCCTAGTCAAAGGTAGGCCACGACACTTCATTAATTATTGCGTGGAAACATCGACTGTGAATGCTGGCCATGACTAGTGACTACTGAACTGAAAGCTGATTGGCTTCGTGTACTCTGGGCGTAATTTACTGTCGCGCTAGCGCACGCGGCAAAGCAGAGAATCGAAATAGAGCGAAAGCAGTAAGACACGTGCATAACCTAGAATTTTGAAGAAATCTGAACTATGCACGCCCCTTATATTGGCCCAGCTGCCCGCTATCTGGCGCAGTAGGCAAAATTAGTAATTATTATAATAAATAATTAATAATAATCAAATTAATCCAAAGCATCGTTTATTTGAGGGCACTGTATGGAACTGAAATTAGAGCTCTATGACGTGTGATGAGAAGCTGGGGTTCCGGGCAGAACAACGTGCAGCATCACTGTGATAGAAGGTATTAGTAAGGACGCTATCACACCACACAAAACGAGCCCGCCTCCTTTTGCTGGGGACCTTAGCGATCTAAAAACCTGTGCACGGTTCCACAAATACAGCGTAATTTTCCTCACCATCACAAATCAGCTTGTGTAAGCTCATCCTGCGAGATGTTGCCGTCACCCGTTTTTCGCAAAGATCGTGTGTTTTCTGCAGTTCCTCAAGGTGTCTCGGCGGGTGCCTGTGGGTCTTGATCGACATTAGAATATTTTCACAAAAATTTTGCAAAGCAAAGAGAAAAGGATAACAATCAAGCTTAACTGTTTGACAGACAGGTAACGACGTTTGTAAGGCTTGAGCAGTTTTCGTAAATTTATGGATGGAATCCGTGTCGAATCCTCTAGACTCGTTGAATGTCGCTGACGCCCTGTCCGGGTTCTGACGTTTCATTTGGTTGCGAAATTTAAAGGACGAATTTACGATGGAAAAGCAACCCATTCCAAATTGAGGTAGAGATGGTGAGTAGTACCAGAAAGAAAGCGAAACCACGAAAAACGGCCCAGAACCGGAGAAATGGGACCCCTTCCTTGTCCGTTGATTTGAGCATTGATGGGACTCTCATCGCTTTGCCCTCTTCAACCCTACGCTCTCTCAGCTATCTAATCACTCGCCACCTATTGTACTACGGCGAGTGATCAGACGATCGGTGGGCGGAGATCGCCGAACTCGCCAACTTTGAGCCATGCTAGATCTCAGAGGTCAAATCTTTCGATGCCGATTGCGTGTCTGTCCGCACCCTCAAGAGATTCACCGCTCTCCCCACTAGGCGATTTCTCCCTTCTTCGACCTTCGTTCTTTCCGTGCAATCCTCCTTTAAAGGAAACGTCGCCGAGTATCCGTCAAGAAACGTCCCCCTGAAAATACTCCCACCGATATGTGTGGTCATTACCTAGTTAAAGGAGGAGAATCTTCCACGAAAAAAGCTCCGCCTTCATTTACCACAGAAGACGATAGCTTAAAGCCACGAGTCAGGATTAGGCAACCAGCAGAAGTTCTTCCCAGGGTGCGATAGTGGGCTCCCCAAGCACTGAGGGCGCGACACTATCGCGACCCAAAAGTGCGCGGCAATGGCGCTAAGGCCTTGCCCGCCGCGCTGCCCGCGCTGCCAGCGTAATCCACCACGGCATACGTGGTCTCTGCGTCCTCTCGCGTACGACGTACTATCTCGCGTTCTCCCTCTCCTCGCAGCGCTGTGTCTCTCCGTCGTACTACGGCCGGCCTGAGGGAAATTTAGTGTTTTCTATGGTGATTTTTGCCCCTCACTAATGTTCCTCATTGCACCTCTTGCCTAATGTTCGAACGAAATAACGCATCAATTCAATCCTGACTTGTGCCTTTAGAGGAATCTTCCACGGAAAGAGTGATCATTTTGTCTTGTGTGTAGGATTAGTATTATCGAAACTAACGCTTATGTTCCGTTCTTTTTGCTATGCTCATGAGGCTAGGGGCCTAAGGGGTATCGTTTTTCTGTGGTAATGGAGGCGGAGCTTTTCCGTGGAAGATTCCCTTTAATAATGAGTGATCCGTGCACGTTGGTGTCTCTTCCCCTTGCACACCCGCGCAATGTGCCAAACGCCTTTCACCCAGGGTCAAGCGAACCGTCGAGGAAAATTTGGAAATACGACTCAATTTTCTGCTCAAAGAGAGAAACCGATCCGCTCCAAGCAGTGCATGTGAAACAACCCTCTTCAAAAAAGCCGAACTATGAAAAAGTTGTTTAATTCTCCACCAAAACTGCTCATAAAAAAGCCCTGCTACCCCACCGTCCACACAAAAAATTCGTTTAAAAAGTATAAAAAGTGAAAAAGTCAAAGAATGATCATTAATGATGAGTCCTACCAAACGAGCAAACGAGAAACGGAGCAAAAAACGACAAACTAGTCACTAAAAATGGCATACTATGACAACATCTCTTCTTTATTTATTTCCTTCGCAAAGACTTACCAAATTCTAGTACTACACAGAGTATGGTTCTCAATTTACACGTCCCCCTTTCGTTGAAAGAAGCCTTGTAAACCGCCTTAGCCAGCTGTGTGTTGACTGATCTTTGGCATGCCTTGAAGCAACTTATTTACTACTGGATTTCAAATGATTGTAACTTTTTCTTCGCAATATGACAAATTTTCAATCTGAAAGCAGAACTGAAAGTTATGTAAAGAGCTCTTTCCAACAAAAGTTGAAATCACAAAATTATTGAAGAAATAACAAATTTAGATCGATTAAAATGCAACGAGGAAAATTCATGATGAGCACGAGTTTTTACACTTTCCGAAGCATAACTTGCTTCATTTTCGTCAAATCTGAAAAGTTTATATGGCAGACAAAACTAGAAGATTTTCTCTATCAAACGGTCGCTAAAGCAGCTTCATACGTCCAGTATTCAAAAAATGGCCACGTTGAGGATTTTTGCAAAATTAACGAGGAAAATTCGTGATGAGTGCGAGTTTTACGCTTTCCAAAGCCCATAACTCCGTTCAAACTCATCCAATCTGAAAAGTTAATACGTCATCATAAACTAGAAGATTTGCTCTATAACTTTCACTAGAACTGCTGAATACGTCCACAATTTAAAAATGGCCACGTCGAGGATTTTTGCCCAGTACCGCCGAAAGTCACTTTTTTGCTGCATTGGCACTATTTCAACGACTATAGCTCCTTTCAGTGGCGATTTTGTACTAAAGTGAGAGCAGATTCGGAAATCCACGTGCGTTTCTCTTTCTGAAAATTGGTAAACTGTTTAGCGAATCTTAACCTTAACGATTACATGCTTATGAATTTGACGACGAAGACTGCATTTTTGTTGAATTGTGTAACTCCTCCTGTAATTTCACATGAACCTTTCGGAATCCTCTTGACCTTTTCCTGAAATTCTTGAGATTCCTTTCTCCAGAGAGCCGTAGCTGAAGCGCGCGCAACCAACTTGGGCTCCACTCCGGGATGCGCCGCGTGCTTCACATCCACTTCAGAATTTCGAGGACTTCGTTTGGAAGAGAAAAATCATTATTACTAATTAATTAAAGATGAAATATCCTTTGGAAAACGTGCGAAATTCGGATTCTTTAACTTGTGTGGTGATAAAACACTGAAGTAACTAAGAATTACTAAGCGGACACCTCAGAATCACGAAGATTTTGTGTGGGCGGAATCAATTGTTATTGGAAATACTCTGGCCTGGCATCGACTCGATCCTTGATGTTTGTCCTCCGACGGTGATGATCCTACTGTATCAATCGGGCCCGATCTCTCCCCAGCGGGCCAATACGACCCCCCCCTCTGTGTCGAGGATTCCTCAACGCACGCTTGACCCTGCTTTCACCCTTCCTGTGGCAACTAGAGCAACTTCAGCTAGAGTCAACTCAATATACAATTATGAGAATAATAAAAAATTAGAGAACTAACGAAATAAAAAATAATCGTATATGAATAATGGAGATCAATTGCCTTGCTTGCTGGTAGTACGACTCAAGCGGGACAGCTCTTGGTTTGCCTGCATGAAACGATCTCGTGGTAGTGGTATGAGAAGTCAAGGTGTCAGCCCTATTTCACACTCACTCTTTGGATCCCACCCAGGGTCTAGTGTGCGTTGAAGAATCCTCGGCAGGTCGACATGGGGGGTCTCGTACTAGGCTGGCTGGGAGGAAGGGGTCCGGCCGGCTTCGCATTAGGACCATCCTATTGTAGGACAAACATCAATGGTGAACGGTGTTGTGCAAGCTTGGCCAGGGAAATTCCTATAATAATGTCGCCGTACATATTTTCGTGTTTCAAGAATCTGCGTAGTAATTCAAAGCTACATCAGTTTTTATTACGACAAGGTAAAGAATCCGAAATTCGCACGTTTTCCACGGATATTTTATCTTTCAAATGAGTCCACCAATATGAAGAGGATGTGAAGCACACGGCGCGTCCCAGAGTGGGCCCAGTCAATTGCGCGCGCTTCAGCAACAGCTCTCGCGGAAACCTATCTGCACCACGATGCCACTGATGCTACTGACCCCCACGAGTATGACCCCAGCCTGACAAGTATGACCCCCCATTCGATTGTTTCCTCGACCGATTATCACCCTGGTTGTGTTCACTGACTTTTTTCTCTCGTAGCTGCTTCTTCAAGGCACTGGGGAGCAGATGGTACGATGGAGTGATATCAGGGCTATACCATAGATATGGTATCGTGGTCCAGCCGGTCTTCAAAATGCAACGAGATCTCTTCAAAGTGAGGTCGGGCGTTCATTCGAAGGAGACTTTGAGAAGTTTCAAACGTTCTCGCGTCATTGCAGCGGCCAATTCGGGAGTTGTCCCATGCTTACCTTGTCTGCATAAGATGAAGTGGTCCTTCAAAACGGGATACCCAACGAATTCTACAAATCAGGGGCAATATCCTTTGATGAAAGAGCAAATGTGGACTTGATAGGCGAGCAGCTTCCAACGCTTTTTGTCTTTGATTCTCGAACAACGAGTGCGTATCGGTTTTTTATTTAGATCCAGATTTAGATTTATTGCGTGCGCATGAGCACCAATTCGTGAGTTGTCCCATGCTTACCTTGTCAGCATAAGAGTATTTGACTTGACAAAGAGCAACAGTATAGCAATCTCTTCGAAAGTGAGGAATGTCACTTCATAGATTAATGATTAGGTGAGTATGGAGCGTGCAAACTGAGTCTGAGATTGGCCACTTATCAAAACACCAGTTTCTCACAAGAATGCTGGGTTGTGAACAAAACTTTCGCCCAGGCGGACTAGAACCCGCACCTCTCGCTTTCCGGTAGTGGTAGCGTAACTGGTAGCGCACTTGCCCGGAAAGCGAGAGGTGCGGGTTCTAGTCCCGCCTGGGGCGAAAGTTTTGTTCACAACCCAGCATTCTTGTGAAACATTCGCAAGGCGAACTGCGGCCAAAAACAGCAGTTAACAAACAAAACAAGTCAAAAACCAGTTCCTCATTTCGAGCCAGGGTCAACCCTTCGTTTGCACAAGTAGAGTGGCCACAAGTTACGGTAGCAAGATGAATGGATCTCGAAAAATTTGGACAGCTAAAAATAGACGATTGGAGAACAAAAATATTTTCATTGCAGATTAATAAACGAAATGTTTCCCAAGGGACCATTATTTGCTCCGAAAAAGGAGCGGAGTTTTCCAACGAATACCCTGACCACACCACGTAGATAGACGGCTTGAAGGGTACTATAGACATTTTGAAGTGTTTTTGTGAATCTGGGCGGAAGTGGTGTAGTGGCAAGTGGCACGCTCACAAATCCTGGGTCGTGAGTCGCCCGGGCCAACCAAGCCTTCCATCCCTCCGGGGTCGGTTAATTGGTACCAGACTTGTCTGGGAGGATAAAAACACTGACTTGTACATCGGCTGGCCCCCGCAAGTCATTGTATAGGCCACATCGCATTCAAACGCCACTACGAATGTACAAATGGAAGTAGAATGCGTGCCGCATCCCAAAAAGGGATTGATCAACGGCAAATGCTTTATCCTTTATTTATCCTTATCCTTTCGTGAATCCATCGTTTCCTTGAGGTAGCAGCAGGTGCTTGTCTTCGGACACTCTGAACATAGTAATCTAGTAGATTCATGCAAGGCGATTCTGATGACCAGTCTTTGACTGTACTGATCTGTGAGTAGTTCAGTTGGCAAGAACTTTGTGCAAAGTTCGTCGTGTGCGAGGGTCTGTATAAAAGTTCCATGGTGTTGTGATTTCTTTTAGAGCTTCGCTTGGCTCGAGGATTCTTTGACTTGAAATGAGGTCGAAATAATTTTTGCCACTTCACACTTTAGTCTCACCATTTGAGAGTTGGACTGTTCCACACTTACCTGCCCTGCGTGTCTTTTGACAGCCAACTGCCAAGAGGTGCTCCTGGTATCAACCAACTATGACCAACCACTTCTAAGCAGCGTGAAATTTCTCTCGCAACAATGCAAAACATACACCAAAACAGGCACTGTAACCTCATTCATCAATGAATATACATATTTTGCTGAAATTTTAGTTCAGACATTATCCAGCGCACTGAAAGGCGAAAAAGTTTTGGAACAAGTGGTGGCACCAGACTGACCCCAAAAATGGCATCTGTTATCGAATCAGTCTCATAAACGGAGTTTTATCGAAGTTTTTTGACACCTTGGCGTCGTAATTCTTGGAACGTGCTTCCATTTCCGACCAACGCCCTGCTACCGATAACGTTTCATCCATCGCTTTGTCTCCCAGCCACGTACCCCGTCTCATGTTCGTAGTGATCAGCTGCGATGGGCGGATTGGGGGACCTTCCTCAAACAGAGGCCCCATTTCCGAGCTGGTTTTGACTGCCAAATTTCTACTGGCGCTTGCTCGTGCAATTCACACATACTATCGCATCACTAGAGTTTACACGTCTCGAGCGTCCGTCTTGATGGCCGGCCAGCGCTCATGAACCCAATCTCAGTGCTTCCTGCAGGGATTTCTTGAAGGCGCTAAGAGTAAAAGCAAAGGAAGGCCAACGAGATGATGTAATGCACAAATATAAAAAATTTATTTTATAAAGCGCTAACTTTGTGTGTCGGTTTGTATGTATGTATGTATGTATGTATGTATGTATGTATGTATGTATGTATGTATGTATGTATGTATGTATGTATGTATGTATGTATGTATGTATGTATGTATGTATGTATGTATGTATGTATGTGTGTCCGTCCGCAAAATGAAGTGAGTGAGAAGGAAGCTCATGGGATAAACAAACCGCTAACAAATCGGGTAGCTTACAGGACTTTAGATATCAATGTTTTGCAATGGCATATTGTGATAACACCCCAACGGCTATATAAACACCTACTGAGGTCACTTCCAGTTATTTCACATGGTGCTGAGTGGAAGGAGAGGAGAGGGGGTGAAGTGTTCGAGGAGGGTAGGCGGGAAACCACCCCCAACAGGCCTAGGATGCAATTAGCTTTCGTAAGGTGATTTTAGGCCGTAAAGCGTACGCTGTGAAAGAAGGTCCCGGCGGTTGGCGGGGGACCAACCTGGTAAATTATAAATTATAACTGAAAATTTTATTTGCTCACTACAAGAGGAGGCTGCTTAAACTGGTGGACTCACCACAGGTTAGTTCGTTCGCTGGGATCGTTTATTTTGTACTATTTCGCTTTTCCGGGAACTCAGTAAGATTAGGCGCTTTACCGGGTGAGCTACAGAGCTAGGACTTCGAACCAGTTTCAGGTCCTGAAGACGACGAATTGTCGAAACGTTGACCAATAAACGTGTTCCACCATAACAACCTGTATGGCACAGAAGAAACAACACAATATTCGAAATGCCCAGGTTCCAAGAAAACCGAACATGGAATCTATTTTATTATTATTATTGTGTGCAGTTTATGTACCTTTGATGCAGTATAATGTCATGGCACGCTCTTTATGTAATTTTTCTTCCCCTCTTTCCAGTCTGCAACTATTTTGCCTATTACCCACATAATACCCCACAGCAACACCATAAAGGTGTCCTTGGATTTTTTAGAGGAGATTGGCGGACCTATTAACTGGTATCCGGAGCCCAATCTCGCCTTAGAGCTTGCAGTGTGTGGCCGGGCACTGCCTTCCTTCCTCTTAGCGAGCCACGTACCCCTCCCCCCGCCGTTCATATCTTGTTGTCTTATGCTGTGCCATATACGTATATAATCTTTTTAATCTATATAATCTATGCTCTATTCCGTACTTCTCTATTTTAATTGTCGCTATTCTGAAATTAATTGTTCCTATCACCCCTGTATAATGGTTATATAAACAAATAAACAAATACGTTGCTGTGCGGATGAACACAGGCAGGATTGAATGGGTTCTGTATCCTCCGCAACAAATGACGTCACTCATTTGACTTAAGGTGGACCTTCTAAATAGCACCCAAGAAACCTCCTCATATCTCATTGACATGTATTCTATAATATATTAGTAATGAACCGCAATTGAAGGGCATACCGTCGAATAATTCCATTGCGGAGCGCGCCAAGCACTAGAGCATCATTGAGTTTTTTAGTTCCATTTGTTTGGTAAAAAAAAACGCTGTACGGTGTACGATAAATTTCGAATCGATGAGCACATCGGCTAGCTTGTTCCAAGCTTGTCTGGAACGGCATAAATGGAAAACGTCGCCATAGCACTGCATAGTAGTCAAATGTCTACTTTACCCGAGTCGGCTACGAACCCTCCTTACTGAAAAGCACGGAGGGAGGGTATTTCTTCCAGTTTGGCTTCCGTCTAAAGCGTGTGCAAAACAGATGTCGACTTAATCTTTGGTTACTCCTCCCTAAAAATTTATAAGTTCTATGTTTTTACTCAAACCTAACTATTTTTATATTGCTGCAATCATCCCGTTCGTAGAACTTCTTCTCTAGTGACGGCAGCTTCCTTAACCCCGGCTTGGTGAAGAGTAATGCTCTGAGATTCAACATGAACCTGATACGACGACACCAGAACTGTAATATTCTAAGCGACCAGACTTACCATTACTAGCAAATTTGAGTAGACTGAAATGATTACTGCATTAACTGAAGATGTTATGCTCATTTGGGATAGGCGCCCTTGAAGCTAAGGTAATAAACATTTTGGTGATCTTCTTCTAAGAGCCACTTCGATGCTCTATATGGTTTGAGTCTGTTTTTAACCAGAGACAGCAAAAAAATATTTATTGAGCAAAATCCGAAATCTTCAAGAGAACCATACTTTGAAGAAAAGAAAAGGCAAAGGTATGGGTTATATTTCTGCATACATTTATTGAAGCATATTCCGTGGCGTAAGTAATTTGGCTGTTTTGAAATAAAGGTCAATCACAAGCAGGTATCATTGATGGCGCTCATCTTCTACCCATGATACCAAGCTTTTAAAGAGAGTTTGCTGCATCAGCTACGTCTGCAATGCGGGAGAACGTTGTCTTAATGTCTAGATTACTCCAACTTCCGCCTAGTCTGCGCTCAAAATAGGATTTGAGAAGTTGCCCTTTATTTTCTAATTTAGCTGCAATATTGCAGAGCTCTTTAAGTGCATCATACAGAGCAGAAAGTGGGAATTCGATTTTGTCAAAACTGGAACGACTCAAGTACTCGTACATATATTGACCTGTTTTACCAATAGCCATGAAAAACGGCTCCAAATCACTTAACTGCTTTGGAAGAGCTCCATCAAGTACCATGTGGATTATCTGTATTGCCAACGCCAACGGTTCATTAGTCTTCGGAACTTTTTCAGGCAGCGAGTGACTGGCAGCGACTAGAGAAGCCTCGACGATTTCCAATGACTTCTTTATGTCGCCTGGATCATCTTGATCTGGCTCAGCATCCCTATACTTCACTTCGTTCCTTCTGCTGTCACTGTCTGTAGAAGTCGCACTTTGATGATTTGTCGTGTTCCCGGATTGCTCTGCAAAAATACGAATTCATTGTTATCCATTATTTTCAAACGAATATTCAATGAGTGGAGCGCTTTGGTTCTGCAAGATGTCTCTAGGAGACATCTTGCAGAACCAAAGCGCTCCACTCATTGAATATTCGTTTGAAAATAATGGATAACAATGAATTCGTATTTTTGCAGAGCAATCCGGGAACACGACAAATCATCAAAGTGCGACTTCTACAGACAGTGACAGCAGAAGGAACGAAGTGAAGTATAGGGATGCTG